GCCTCCCCTGGACTCTTTCCAGCAGCTCCATGTCCTCCTGCTGTTGTTCCCAGGGCTGGAGCAGCTCTGCAGGGGGGGTGTCTCCCCTGAGGGGGCAGAGGGGCAGAATCCCCCCCTGCCCTGCCCAGGACACAGCAGGGGGGCTGTTTCTGGGCTCATTCCAAGAGCTGCAGAGAGCCAAGGGAAAATTGACTCCTGGGGTTTTCCCAGAGCCAAGTGCTCCCACACCATTCAGCCACCTGCAGGCAGGTCCATCCTGATTTTAGGGACTGTCACCAACAAACAGCCTGACTCAGGAATCCCGGACAACCTCCCGGTGCTTCCCTCAGCTGCTCCTCGGGCAGCCTGATCCCAGCCTTCCCACTTCCCAGCATTCAGCACAGGCAGGGCCGTATCGGGCTGTGGGATCGGCGCGTCCCTTCCTGCCAGGGGGAACTGGACCTGCCCCATCCATTCTCCTGCTTTCCCGGCCGAGATTCCTGGGAAAGCACGTGTGCCTGTGAACCTCGGCCTCCAGGCAGCTGCTTGGCTCCCTGTTTTCCTTCCTGCTCCGGCAGGCCCGGGGGTGACACCTGGGGGAGCCTGTCCCCGCCCCTGTCCCCGTCCCCACCGGCTGGACCGGGAAGTTTACGGGATGTTATTGCAATGCAGGAAGTTCTAAATAAGCACAAAGTTAAACTCTCAGCCGCAGGATGACCCCGCCGGGAGCGCTGGCACGGCGGGAACGGCCCCTGCCACGGCCGGGGGTCACGGCCGGGGGTCACGGCCACGCCGCAGCTCCCGGCACTCCCCTCGTTCCCAGCGCCCCTTAAATGATGTGACAACGGCAGCTCAGCCCCAACACCACACACGGACCGAGCCAGGGCTCCATCTCCGGGGTCTGGAGCGTTCCTGGACCCCACAGAGAGGTTCCACCTTCCCTGGAACGCTCCCCGTGGCCCCAGCCCATCCCGGTCCCACAGCCAGGTCCTGCTCCAGGGACACCACGGGGCCTGGCCCGCGAGGAACCGGCCGTGCTGCAGCTTCTCCAGCCCTTCCCTGCAGTCGGGGGTGATGGAGAGCCAGGGGTTTGCACATGGGTTTGAGGCAAAGCTTTTCCTTGTTCGGAAGGAGTCCTGTCCCACCCCTCCCACCCGACACCCTCCGCTCCCCGTGACCAACACCACGGCACGGGACCACCAGTCCAGCCAGTGCCCAGGAACAGGGGGGCCTCTGCAGGCTCAGACACGACTCCCACAGCCCAGACCTCGGAAATTCGGGATGATATCATCCAGGGGAACACAATGCTCAGCCAACACAGCTCAACATTGGCTGCCCCATCCCTGGAAGTGTCTAAGGGCAGGGTGGACAGGGTTTGGAGCAACCCAGGATAATGGAAGGTGTCCCTGCCCCTGGCAGGGGCTGGGACTGGATGGGCTTTAAGGTCCCTTCCCACCCAAACCATTCCATGATCCTTTGATTCTAAGTCCTCACCACAGGAGCAAGATGTGCTTCACCCTTCCCTCCCCCCAGCTGTGTCACCAGCCCCAAAGGTGTCAGCTCGGCCAGGACAGGGTGGGGGGTCACTTCAGAAACATTCGACTACTTCAGACACATCAAATTATTTCCAAAATGTTCATTTCACACCACCAGTGATTTTCCAGCTCCCCCCAGACGGGCTCAGCCTCATCCCTGCTTTGAATCATCATTAGCTGAGAGCTTCTCACTGCCTCAGCGCAGAAATCCTTGACAAATTTAGCAGTTTTAAAGCACCCTAAACCCCTTTCGTGCTCCAAAGCCCTGCCTGGAGTCACCGAGGTGGCTCCTTGCAAAGCCACCAGGCACGAGGCCACACAGCCTGCCCGGGGCCAGGAGCTCCTGCCAAGAGCGCTCGGTGCCGACGCCACAACCCCAAACAGCCGGAGCTGCTCCAGCAGAGGCCAACAAGGCCCAGCCCCAGCAGGTCACTAATGGAGCTCCTGGCACGGGGCAGGATCCACGTAGATCCACGTAGATCCACGTAACCCCGAGGCAGCCCCGCCACGGCCTGGGAACTGCTCCGCAAGACGTGGGAGCGATTGCATCAACCACGGGGTGGGATGAGCCCCATCCCGAGTGCCAAAGGTTGGACAGGCCTTGGAGCAACCTGGGCCAGTGGAAGGTGTCTCTGCCCATGGCAGGGGTGGCACTGAGGGGGCTTTAAGGTCCCTTCCCACCCAAAGCATTCCATGATCCTCAGAGGTGTCCCGGACGGCCGGAGCACCGCTCAGCCCTCCTGTTCCCCGGGAGCCAACACCGGAGGGAGGGCAGAGCTGGGGTGTTCCAGCTCCTCCCTCACGGAGAGCAGGAGAAGCTCTGGGGGATTAAGAGGACAGGAATAAGGCCGGAGCAGGGACGGAGCCGTGCCCACCCCAGAGCCCCCCCAGCCCCAGCACGGCCGGCCCAGAACAACACTGCGAGTGTCTGCCCCGGGACAATGCAGGCACTGTTCCCTCCTTACGTAGTCCCCAAAGGAGCACCAAGAATGGCTTTGCTATGGAGGGGAACAAAAGGCCTGTGTGAGGGCCGGGGCTGTCCCACTGCTCCGGGGCTGTCCCACTGCTCCGGCCACGCCACGGCCCCACGGCTGCCTCGGGGGAAAGCCCACCCAGCCCAGGGGAGAGAGGGGACACTCCTTGTCCCCACACCTGGCCACGAGCAGTGTCCCCCCGGCACGGGGGGGACAGCCCAGACCCCACCAGCACCAG